TGAAGAAAATCAGGAGGCCAGGTGTCATTGCACGTGCCCAGATGTTTTAGCCTGGCTCTGTAATCATGAGCTGGATTCATACCAGACCGGCACCTCACAAATATGGACCATGGCTCACGAGGCACACCTGGTTCAATAAATAGGAGGAGCTCAGTGCAGCTTTTCCCCTCTTCTGGCAAATGTGGCCAAGTGCCTCCTGGGAGGTGAAGGTTGACCCTTGAAATGGGAAGGACAGCACAGGAATTAGGCAAGGCCCCTGCAGAGACAGACAGTCTTGTAATATAGAAGATTTCTCTTTGCTGTGATTAGTTATATTAATCATTTTCGAGGCTGTAACAAACTCGATGCAGATGACATAAATGCTACTTGTATTGACAGAAGCGAAGGATTTCTTTTTGTATACAGGCTTACAGATTGCTTTTTCACTTATTTTTATTTTTTTTTAAAGATGGGATTTCACCATGATGGCCAGGCTGGTCTCAAACTCCTGACCTCAGGTGATCCACCCACCTCGGCCTCCCAAAGTGCTAGGATTACAGGCATGAGCCACCGCGCCCGGCCTTTGCCTTTTCATTTTTTCTCTGTGTCTCATGGAAACATAAAGCACGCATGCAGGGCTACAGAGCCCCTCAGAGCACTTTCTTCTGTATTTTTATTGGCTCCATCATTTTCCTGCCCTGTGACTTAACCACTGTGAGTCTTAGTTTATTTATCCGTGGAATGGGGAAAATAACTGCACTGACATCATGAGCTTGCAGGGAGAATCAAATGCAAAGAAAAAAATATATTTGTATCTTAGTCTGCTGTTCAGACCACCAGAAGAAAATGCCATAAATCAGGCAGCTTGTAAACAACAGATGTGTATTTCTCATAGTTCTGGAGGCTGGAAATCCAAGTTCAAGGCATAGGTGGTAACCTGGGGAGGGCCTGCTTCCCTGTTCGTAGGCACTACCTTCTCTCTACATCCTTACATTGTGGAAGGGACAACGTAGCTCTCTGGGGCCTCTTGGATAGAGTCAATAATCCCATTCATGAGAGCTATGCCCTCATGATCTAATCACCTCTAAATGCTACCACCTCCAAATATTATTATACTGGAGATTCGGGTTCAACATATGATTTTGGGAAGGAAACATTCAGACCATAGCAATATGTATGTAATGTCCAAGAGTGCTGCCAGGAACATAGCAGGTGCCCAGTAAATCAGTATATAGTAGCTATAAGATAAGTGAGGGAATTGAACAAGGAGTTGGGAAAGTTTCTTCTCATATGCTTCCTAGCTTTTTTCAGTTTAGGGAAAGTGTCATAAAATAGCATACATGTTGAAACTGAGAACTACTCCAAAAGGTTTATTTGTAATGCTAGAAATATTAACTTCTTGCAGTTTATACTGGCAGATCTCCAGTAATTCACAATTAACACCTGCTGTTTAGTGGTTTGCAAATAGGTTTTGCTGTCATTGTGGATATCTAGAATAAAAAGTTGTGGGGAAACATTTAAAAATTAAATGTCTGATTTCGTCTACTGATGGAGGAATGCAACTTAGGTTGGCTATACGTAAATACTTAAAAATCTTTAATAAAGTTGAATTCCTCTCTGCCCTGTTGCTAAGAGTAAATGTTTTTATTGTTGTTATATTTGAATCTTGCATCATCTGATTGCAGGAAGGATACCTTGACATCATCTAGCAGTAATGTGAGAAATAGTACTTTTCTCTTGTCTGAGTCACAGTAGTGGTAAGATGAATGGAGAGAGGGAATCCTGCTGTTCATCTGACCTTCACGGATTCAACTGGAACTAACTGGCTTTTTTGTGCACCAAAATAGATATAAAGAAAGTTCAGCTGATCTGGGGGGACTCAGTCACAAACCAGATGCTGAACAGGCTAGTGAGGCTTGCACAGAGTACTAGAGGGTGAGTATCATCGTGACTTTGCCATGATTCAACTTGGACTTTGAAAAATTTCACTGAAAATGACTTTGGAAAATTATATACAACATAAATATGCAAATTTACGTTATCCTTTTAACAGGTTCCAGTGCTTTGCAGACAGAAAGGAGAGTTGGTTCTCTATTTTAGATGTATAAAATGAGTGAGATTAGTTAGTAAAGTGGCCTGTACTGTAATCTACCTTTCCTTGCTCATCTCACATCCTCTCTACATTTCGGAATTCTCCTTTGCTTTCTCCTATTTGGGGACTAGAGCCCTCAGTCTTTTTCCACATCATCATCTCTAAACTTGGTTTCACACTTCTCCTTTTCACTATGATATAAATGGTTGATAGTGGCTGAAAATGTTGTGATCCTTCCAGATAATATTTCCATTTTCATAAGGGAGCTATCTGAAGTGCATGGAAGAAATATCTTGGGTGGAGTTTTCAACATTGTTAAATTTGGAGCTTAGAAGGGTATAGTGTGGTGGAGGGTGTTTATGGTTGTATCTGATTCTCCAGCTGCTCTGAAATAATAATGCTTAGGCATTGTCTTCTCTAGCAGTTCCCAGAGGCTTCTTTCAACTCCTTCCCGTGTAGTTTCTAGTGCCTTACAATAGGCTTTCAGTAAGAAGAATAGTATCTATGGCTAAACTTGAGTATTTTGGGGTTTTCTCAAAAGAGAACCAGGCACTGTTCAGGAAGTTTCCCTCAAGCAGACGCAATGACTCTTGTTTTTGCATATTTCGATTTTCGATCAGTTTATTTATTTTGAAAACCAGCCAAATACCTGTACAAATGAATACCAGTGTTGCCATGTACAGGCATTTAGTAACCCTGGATAAGGAACAACTAAAACCAGAGGGAGAGGTTTTTATCACAACTTTTGCTCTCATGTCGTATTCTGCTAATATTTAACTGCTGCTTATTATTTTAGATCGACTCATCTCTACCACACCCGCCCCAAACATGTATCCACATGCACACTCCCATTAGGACTGATGGGCTAAAAACAAGTGAATTTTTTTGCTTTGCTACTATTTTGGCATGCATGTCACCAACATTTTCCCAGTTGATCAGTTGTATGGGAGACTTAGTAAGTCTAGAATCCCCTCAGATACTAGATACTCTCTCTAGTCTATTGCCTTTTGTTCACCCAGGCTTTAACAAACTAAAACAGAACTCTTGTCCATGTATTTCTGGAAAACTTTGAATTTTATTTTGAAGTATTCAGAGATGTCTGGACTGTATTGTTGTTTAACTCTTTAGTAATATTAGCATTACTCTTTTACCAGAAATAGATTAATGCCTCATTTTTAGATGCAACTGGGCTTTTTGGTCATTTTAACTTTGAATGTAAAGCATTCATGGATTAAATGAGTAAAGCAGCGAATCCTAGAATAGGCAGACTTGTGTAGGTTTGCATGTGTCTGTATTGACCCCCTAAAATGGGAAAAATTGCTGTTATATAGTTTCATTCTAAAAACAGATTATAGGTTTTCAATAACATGTACCAATAAGGTAGAAATTTGTCTTGATTAGGGTCCCAGAAAATATGCAGATTAAAAACGAAACAAATGGCTTTACCTAATGGGAAGACAGACCCTTCAGAATCCTAGGTCCATTACCAATCATGTCTGATATGAAAAGGTACATTTTATTTCCATCACCCCATTTGGGGAAAAAATGATGCAACCTGTTTTCTTCCTAAGACTTCTAGACATCCTGGAACAAAATGTTTTTAGAAAGGGCATTTCCATCCAGAAGGTAGGCATCTGGAAACCTACAGATAAGCATATTTACATTGTTGACTGGCAAATTAATAGATTGTACCTGTACATGAGAATACTTCTAATTTCAAATATGCATCTTTGAGACTCAACACATTTTAACACACTGACTACATTTCAAAGGTAACAGTCAAATTGTATTGAAAACAAGAACATCTGATTGGTATCTTCACTGGGTACAATAGCATATCAGATTGACAGTTGACTGGCAAAGTGAAATGTATTTATTTAATGTGTTTTTGCAGAGAGTTGAGTAGTATCAGACAGGCCAGAGGTCATACCTGGAAACGTCATCTAAAGCCAGGAAGAGTCCATAGGCCCAGGCAGGCAAATTCTCCAATTCATGATGAGCTGAGAGGGGGAGGGTCAAGCAGCAGAAACTGAGAACTGAGGCTGGGAGCAAGAGGCAGACCTAGGCCGGGCGCGGTGGCTCAAGCCTGTAATCCCAGCCCTTTGGGAGGCCGAGACAGGTGGATCACGAGGTCGAGAGATCGAGACCATCCTGGTCAACATGGTGAAACCCCGTCTCTACTAAAAATACAAAAAAAATTAGCTGGGCATGGTAGTGCGTGCCTGTAATCCCGCTACTCGGGAGGCTGAGGCAGGAGAATTGCCTGAACCAGGAGGTGGAGGTTGCGGTGAGCCGAGTGCTATTGCACTCCAGCCTGGGTAACAAGAGCGAAACTCTGTCTCGGAAATAAAAAAAAAAAAGAGGCAGACCTGGGCAGAAAGTCTGGGCAACGTGGAATTGGGATCTTTGGCAGTTGGGATGCAGCGGGTGGCAGCGAGGAGGAAGGAAAGCAGAGAAAAAGGCACTTCTGCCAGTGACTCAACTGAGTATAGCTAATAAACTGTACAGATGCAAGCATGTCAAAAAGGCTCCACCTCCTTATTTGTGGACTGTTGAGGATATTCTGTAGGTGATGGGCATTAATTACAACCCATGCATATGAGCTTCCTGTAATTGGGCTGAAACTATTGATACATTCAGGTCAGAAGAGTGGGACTGAGTATGCGCTGTTCATTTCCTGGTGGGCGCTGCCTTCTCAGCTTGGCTCTCATTTCCCATTACTGCTTTGCTCTGACTCACTGATGGCCCGCCACATGTCATTAGGCGGCTCAGCTGCCGCTCTCATTTCTCCCAAAGGTATAGGGAGGTTTGTCTCTTGGCTTTTACACTTTCTTTTCCCGGAGAGCTAGAGGAAGTGGCCTTTTGATAGTTTTGTTTGTTGAGCTGAATACTTGTAGTGTCTTAAGGTTTCAATTTTCCTTTCTCATAGGTATTTGATCCTGATGACCTTTATTCAGGGGTCAATTTCTCCAAGGTTCTGAGTACTCTTTTAGCTGTCAACAAAGCGACAGAAGGTAAGCCAGGCTTGTGATTTAAGTGTTCTGGGTGACATTTTTGAATCCATGTGTTTCTGATTACCCCAAGAGCCAACTCTGGTCAGAATTGTTCTCTTGATGCAAATTTTCCCCTTGCTTCCCGCAAATACAGCCCCAACAAATGTCAAATGCTTGAATTTTTTCATGGCTTAGGATTTAAAACATACCTATCATAGATCTTAATGTAATGATAAGAACCAAGAAACTATTTCATTCAAAGCTCTTGAATAGCCAACTAACAAAACAGAAAAGAAAAAGGAAGACCAGTTCCCTTTTTCATGGAGTTTACAAAATACAGCCGTCACTTCCCTTTCCCCATTAGAGACAGATTTTTCTCATTGTTTTCCGTATGCCTTTGTCCACATAAAGGAACCCCTCAGTAGCCTTGCACCAAAAATGAAATCCTGGGTTCATAGAGAGTGAAAATAATATCTTTTATTTAAACGTTTAACACCGTCCACACTAGAGGTATTAAATATAAGTGCTAGTCAATATGAAGAAAATGATGATACACTTAGACTGTAAATTCACTCCTTCTGTGATATTTTACCAGCAGCTTGGTAGTAATAATCATACTTAAAATGCTTTGAGCTCTTGCCCTGGATCTAGGCTGTCATAAGAGCCACAGGTGATCGCATTCAGTCTTTGAAACAACACTGGGGGTAGGTATTATTATTATTAAGTCCATATTACAGATAAGGAAAGTCAGGCCTGTGGTTGTCCAACTAGAAAGTTAGTGGCTGAGTTGGGATTCAGACCCACAACTAACTCACTGCAGAGCCCTTATGCCCAAGCACGAGGCTTGTTGCTCAAACTGCTGGAGACTCAAGAGGCTGTGTGCCCAGCACCTACAAAAAATGTCAGAGCTATGGTCCCTGCCTTTGAGAAAATGACTGTCTATTTAAGGAGACTCAACTTACCCACATGAAACAATCAGAGGACAAGAGCAGACAATATAATCAAGTGCCAAATAGGTTGGAACATCTAGAAAGCTATCAAGTAATTATAGTTGTAGTCAAAAGAGCTGTATATGATAGCAATACATGTAAAAATACTTTTCCAGAGTTGTTCTTTTGCTATTTGGAAAAAGAAAAATGCTTTTGAGCTATTGCAAGGCATATAGCTGAAAGTACAGCTAATTCAAGTAACTATATTTAACACACATGACAACTATCCAGTTCCAGTCAGGGAGGATCGTGTCATTCTAACATTATGCCACAGAAATTATACGTTCCTTTGCCAAACTCTCCTAGCAAGTTTTACAGTCTCTTCCCTTGCCACAGATATTTATAAAATACAAGGAGGTGAAAGTTAAAACCCACAGCATCAAGGAAATTACTTGGATACTGAGCTTGTCGCCTAGGGAATGTTTGGGCTTTAGACTTTTGCAGTTTATATCTTTTAAAAATAAATGGAGAGGAAAAGAACCCTTATTTAAATTTGTCAAGAAGCCAGCTCCTCTCTTTTGTATACTCTCAACAAACTGAAAACATCCAGCTCAGCTCTGGCCTGGTTGAATTTCACAAGGTTTCAAGGAAGACAAGACTCTTGAATCTGATTGTTAAAAAAAATTATTCTAGTGTCAAGACTGCATCTTTCCCAAACACATCTTCTCTCTCACTCTCATTCTCCACCCCACCCTACACACATGAGGGAGATTTTACATTATGTATGCCACACATATTGTTACTTGTAAGAAATGAGCCACTGAGTTATGGGCCAAAAAGCAAAGAGAGAAATTTGAAATATTTCAAAGTAATAAGAGCCACAAACAGCTGTTTGGTACCCAATATAGTTCTGCCTTAGATAAGAGGGCATACTGTTGCAACTGGTTCAGGAGGGAAGAGTTGAAGGGAAATGGGTTAAGAGAAAATGTGGTTCTGTCGCTGTTTTTCATTCTACTGGAGCACGATGGCCAGTAAGGTTAAGAACAGGAAGTTGGCCAACAAAAAGGGAAGGGGGACTGAAATACATTTGGCATGTTCATAATGATAACAGCTAGAATTATAGCCAGGATGCCTCTGATAATATCCCGTGAAAGATAATGTTATGTGGTACATGTTTTTCTGACCTGAGTGGTTCCTTTAACATGCCTTTTCCTCTTTTCACAGATCAGCTATCAGAAAGACCATGTGGACATTCCTCTTCTCTTAGCGCTGCTAATACTTCTCAGACAAACCCACAGGGAGCAGTTTCTAGCACAGCTTCAGGGCTGCAAAGGCAGTCAAAGACAGTGGTAAGTATAGTCCCCAATTATCTGTCTGTTTTAAAATCCGTAAAATTAGATTGATATCCTAGTTGCATCTCCATATGTGGTGAGACAGCCATCCGGTTTGTTTTGGGCATCACTGAGAAAACTAATTATAAACCGAGCACCAATTCAGGCTGGCCCAAAGGAACAAATCAAAGGCATGTGGAGGGGCAAAAATCTGGATTGAAGCTCCAGCTCTGCCCCTTATGAGAATTAGGCATGTCATTTAGCTGAGAATGCTATGCAGATAGAAGTTATTATGGCTACTTTCTGATGCAGTTATTTTCCCTATCCTTTGTTTTATTAGAACTAAACATTTCCTGACACATTCTAGGCAATCAATAAATATTGATTGGTATCCTCATTATTATTGTCATTTTTATTTTTCTCTTTCCATTCCTAATGAGGAAGACCTGATTTTAAATATCAGCCTATGATGAACTTCTATATTGGGATCTCCCGGTTGCCTTTGCACTTGGTCTTACTGGGAACTTTTTTTTGGTAGGAAATGCCTCATCTTCTGCTCTTTGGGTGAAAGCTTTATTTCCTGTCAAAAGCCACCCACTTGCAGTAAGCCATCATGACCTGTTACTTCCAAAGCACTTGAATATGTGGTTCTTAACCTCTTTGAGATCACAGATCCCTTTGAAAGGCTGATGAACACTATGGCTCTACACCCCTGGTACCCTCTCAAATTGTACACAAAAGCCCATGTGTATGAACTCATTTGGACAAAGATCTGTTGTGCTTATCAGATTCTCAAAGGGGTCTGTGACCCTCAAAAAGCAAGTCCAGTTTATACATGACAGATGAAGAATTCCTGACTTAATATATCCATGTAATAAAACTGCACTTGTACCCCCTAAATGTACAAAAATAAAAATGTGGAAAAAAGAATTTCTGACTCAGGCAACTATGGGGTATTTGATCTTTGCACATAAGTAAGTCTTAGCCAAATTAAGATATCCTTTGTAATTAGGAGGTGGGAGGCAGGTTTTATGGAGGGTAGGTTAGTACATCTTGGTCATATAATTATGTGGACTGTTTGTGTGTTTAGTAGAGGCAGGGTAGAATAGCTTATCTCTCTGCTTTGTTACCTGGCTCAGTTAAATAGATACCTTTAGATAATGGGAACGGGTGTGGAGAGAAAAATGAAAGCTATGACCCACTTCAAAATACACATTCTCACAAATGCCAAAGTTTACTTACTGTTCTGAGGGGTTTACTAATCCCTCTGAGACCCATTCATCAACTCCTAAGTTGAAAACTCAGGACTGAGATGGATCTGGGGTTTTATCTTGGCTTACCCCACTTTATTTGCCTAAATCCATATCATTTAGATGAGTGCTTAATCTGGTGTGGCTTTTGTTTCTCTAGGAGATGACGGAAAATGGAAGTCATCAGTTGATAGTAAAAGCAAGATTCAACTTTAAGCAGACTAATGAGGATGAACTGTCAGTTTGTAAGGGGGACATCATTTATGTCACTCGAGTTGAAGAAGGAGGCTGGTGGGAAGGTACATTAAATGGGAGAACAGGCTGGTTCCCTAGTAATTACGTCCGCGAAATTAAATCCAGTGGTAAGTGAAGTTTTTAAAAGCCTTTTCAATTGCGACTCTTGTACTTTCTTGGTATTCTTACTGAAAATTGTGTAGTTCTAATTGGTTAGCAGAAACTGTTTATACTTGTATGTGTATGCCAAAAATAAGAGTAGAACAGAACTGGGAAAAATCTGTGATTACATATTTTGAAACAAAGTTGTATTTAGATTACATTAAGGCAGCAGAAAAATAAAAAAAGCAAAGGAATTCAAAGCTCAGACAACTGGTCCACCTTAACTGTATCCCTTTATGTCTACTCATTCTAGCCCATGTAATATAGTACATAGTCCTTCTCACCACGCTAAAACTTGTCATGGCAGAATACAATAATAAGAGAGGCCATGTGCTAACTTCCATTTTTAGCCCTAAGCCCTGTAAGCAGACCTAAGACTAAATGCCTCAGACATGAGAGATAATAATGATAGGGCTATAGGAAGCTGTCTGGCCACTTTGATTGTGAACACGATTGCCAGAAACTGACTGCGTGCTGTTAGCTGTTTACCTTTCTTCATAACAATAGTCAGAGAATAAAATTGAATTGCTCTTCAGTAGTCTTCTCTTTCTCTCTCTCTTTCTTTCTTTCTTTCTTTCCTTCCTTCCTTCTTTCTTTCTCTGTCTTTTCTTTTGAGACAGGGTCTTGCTCTGTTGCCCAGGCAGAGTGCAGTGGTCATCACAGCTCACTGCAGCCTGGACCTCCTGGGCTCAAGTGATCCTCTTGCCTCAGCCTCCCAAGTATTTGGGACTACAGGTGCATGCCACCACACTCAGCTGACATTTAAATTTTTTGTAGAGACAGGATCTCCCTATGTTGCCCAGGCTGGTCTTGAACTCCTGGGCTCGAGTGATTTTCCTGCATCGGCCTCCCAAGGTGCTGGGATTACAGGTGGTAGCCATTGTGCCTGGCCACTCTTCAGCAGTTTTCCTTAGAGTTTTGTTTTGTTTTTTGATAATTCACTTACCTTTTATTATTTAAGAAGGTAGGCTCTGCTGATATTGCAAAAAAACCAGCAAACCCTTATACATAAAAATGCCACAGTACACATAAAACAGCATTTAGTTATTCACATTACTGTATCTCTTCACTTTTCAAAAATATTTACACAAGGTCTCTTTTGAATGGTTAGCTCCTCAGTACATTATTTCTTTTATAGATATCTTACTGTTTTTTAATGCCTCAAAATTGATGCTATTAATTAATTAACAAAATTATAGGCTCACTGTAGGTAAAATGAAACGTTGTGGAAATATACAGGTGACTCTTGAACAACATGGGGATTAAGGGCACTGAGTCCCCATGCAGTTGAAAATCCATGTATAACTTTTGACTTCTCTAAAACTTAACTTCTAATGTCCTACTCTTGATTGGAAGCCTTATTGATAACATAAGCAGTCATTTTAACACATATTTTGTATGTTATATTGTTATATACTATGTTCTTATGATAAAGTAAGCTAGGGAAAAGAAAATGTTATTAAGAAAATTATAAAGAAGAGAAAATACATTTACTATTAATTAAGCGGAAGTAAATCATCATAAAGGTCTTCATCTTCATTGTCTTCATGTATAAGTGGGGTGGGCCCACCAAGTTCAAACCCATGTTGTTCAAGGATCAGCTGCATAATGTATATAATGAAAGTTCCTCTTCTCTTTGCACCCTCCCCCAGATAACCAGAGTTAGGAGCTTTTCCCTAAAGTGTTTAAGATACAATTACTTTGGACACTTTTCTGTGTTCTATGCTGGGTTTAAAGGGGTAGCTCCTTTAATGGGATGCATTTACTAACAGATTTATAATTATATGTGTATATGGAGACTTCTTAGCATTTTAAATTACTGGGAATCAAGAAGTTTCTGTTGAGCCCTGGAGTATTTCCACAGGCTTTGCCTGGAATTTCCTGGGTTTTGATGATATTCACGGGCGATTTTTACCTCTCGCTACATCTTTCAATTGATATGATTTTGTTGGCAGGATCCCTAAATGCTTTTCCAGATTCACTCTAACATTGTTCCCTGATGCAGTGTCTTCATTTGCAAAACTGAAAGAGCAGTACTTTTGTCCAGGAATCCCAAGCACTGTTGATGGGCCCTGGGAAGTGAACAGCACACCCTCACTTTGATGACCCTCCTTATAATGTCCCTCACTGTGATTCATTGTAGCAGTCTGGCCAGTCCCTTATAGAGGGCCCCAGGTTGTTTGTCCTGGTTTTAGGACCCTTCTTTTAAAATTTCTCCTATACTCTCTCTGGTTTAGGACTCAGCTTAGGACTCATGTGGCAAGCCGCAGCTCTGATTTGAGCACTTAGGCAACCCTTAAAAGCATCTAACCCAACTGTCAAGGACAGGTCTGCATTGCTTGGGCCAGGAAATCAGTGCTAGCCAGGGAAGGCTTGGAACTAGTAGTGTATAGAACAGCCTCTCTCATTTAGCTTATTGCAGCAGCTTCCTAACTGGCATATCTGCCCCTGTTTTGTCATTCCTGTAATCCAGTCTAAACTCATTAGCCAGAGTAATTCTTTTAAAATGTAATTTGGTGCCAGGCATGGTGGCTCATGCCTGTAATCCCAGCACTTTGGGAGACTGAAATGGGTGGATCACTTGAGGTTAGGAGTTTGTGATCAGCCTGGGCAACATGGTAAAACCCTGACTTTACTAAAAATGCAAAAACCAGCTGGACATGGTACCACATGCCTGGAGTCCCAGCTACTTGGGAGGCTGAGGCAGAATAGTTTGAACCCAAGAGGCAGAGGTTGCAGTGAGCCGAGATCACACCACTGCACTCAAGTCTGGGTGACAGAGTGAGACTCCATCTCAAAAAAAAAAAAAAAAAAAAATGTAACTTGGGTAATGGCTCCTCACTTCAAAAAAATAAAAGGCCAAGGTCATCACAATAGCCTCCAAGGCCCTCCGAGATCTGGCCTTCCATTGCCCTTCTGGCCTCCTCTCTGATCTCTCTTCCCCTCGCTCGTTCCACTTTAGCCACACTGGCCTCTTGGCTGCCTGTGCCAGACAGGCTCCTGAGTCACTTGCTGTCCCCTGTCTGGAGCACTCTCCAGCTATCAGCACGGCTGGCTCCCTCACCTCCTTCAGGTCCACTCACTTGTCCACTTCACAGGAGGGCCTTTCCTGGCACCCAGGAGAAAATGTAACACTATCCCCACTCCCTTTATCCCCCTTCCCTGCTTAAAGTTTTTGCTAATTATTTTTCTTCATCTAACATAATACGAATTTACTTATTTATTTCATTTACTGTTTATATTTTACCACTAGAAATGTAAGTACCACAAGGGCAGAGAGTTTGTTTGTTTTGTTTATGCTCAGTAAATATTTGTAAAATGAACAAATATTACGGGGCAGGTAATTAAATTCTGTTCAGCTTGTTCACTGAATACCTCCTAGGCACTCAGGGGGTCTATAACAATCTGTACCTCATAGACCCCGTCCCTTAGGACCTTATAGTCTAGTAATCAACACAGGTCTGTACAACTAACTAACAGGCCAGGACAGAGTAAATAACAGGGACAAAGGACTGAGTAAGATGCTGTTGGAACAGTGAAGAAACAATTTAATTAACAATAACAGGAGTGGGAAAGCACTTGAATTGGGTCTCGAAGGATAGAAGAGGAAGCTTCTGACTGGTAGAAGAAGATTAGAGAGAATTTTTAAGTTCAAGCATGGAAGTAAGAGTAGGCGGTGGGGTGATCTGGGTTGAGAATCAGGTGTATGAAGAGAAAGAATGGGACCTTGAGCTGGAGCTACATTAAGAGGCTGTGTCAATGTCAAATTTTAAGCAAGGGATAATGTGGTTTCTGAAGGTAGTGTGGGGGATGGATTGCAGGGAAGTGGTGGGGATAACCAGCAAGGATGTAGAGAAACCAACAGAGGCCGCTGCTAAGGTCCAGGCGATCAGGACAGCGGTATGGACCACTCTGGGGATGGTGGGGAGGAAGAGAAGTGGATGGATGCAGTATATACTGTTGAAATAAAATTATAAAAACTTGCTGATGATTCATTTTGAGGATAAGAGAACAATACGAAGTCTAGGCGTCCAGCTTGATGGCGAGCTCCTTAAAGGCACGCGGTGTCATGCACCTAACCAGCCCACAAAGGTTGATTTCTCTTGACAAAGGTTGATTTCTCTTGATGAGGGTGTCAATCTCTGTCTTGGACACTAGTGTGGTGGAGAAGTATAAGGCATGGCTGTTGCCTTCAGGGTGTTCATACTCTAGTAGGAAGACATCATTAGAATACAATATGATAAGTTTAGTGATAGAGCTAAATACAGGATGCTATGGGGAGGTGGGAGAACAAGAGAGGAACATAACTCATCTGACAGGGAAGTCAGGGGATTTTACTCATCTTTGTATGCCGTCTTGTCTCCATAGTGCCTAACATGGTGCTTTAGACATGGGAAATGTTTGATATGTGCTGAACTCCGTTAATAGAGAAGATAGGAGGAGACAGAACTTGTGTGTGCATGTCTCGTGTGTGTCTGTGTTGCGGGGATGATTGGTATGGAAGATGATGAACTGTTTTGTATTTGAGTGGAGGTGCGCCGAGTCATAGGTCTGAAGATTTCTAGCAGGTAGTTGGCAGTATGGTTATGGAGCACAGGAGACAGATAAGAGCTGGTGGTGAGGCAACTGACAGTTTAGGTCAGTGGACGATAAGGTGTAAAATATATAGCAGATCATCAGTGTTAGAGACAGAGAGTACATTGTGCCTGAAGAGGTTGGGGGAGGCTTCCTGGGGGAGATAAGGCTTAAGCTGAACACTGAAACACAGGTAGGCTATGAACAGGCCCAGAAGAGAGGTGACAACAATCTAAATCATAGTGATTGGTCAGGGAAAACAAAACCCATGACGATTCTGTGGTAGGGCTGAGCAGAGTGAGCTTGAGGGACAATGGAAGGGACTAGCTTCAGGTAATAAAAATGTCTTGCTGGGAAAGTAGGTGCTTAATAAATCTTTGTTGACTTGAAT